GAAAAATTAAATGTAAAGGAAATTAAAAACTGTAGACAATGTGAAAAAACGCATTGTATGAAAATTTTATTTGCCTCAAGAATTTCACTTGGAAATTGTTAAGCACATGAAAAAAGTACACAATTAGTGGTAAATCAGTTCCTCACTCTGTACTTCCTATGGTGTTAAGAATGAAAGTATTCGATAAAAACATCAAACAGTATTTGAAACATGATTCAAGTGCTACACCACAGTTTTAACATAAGGATAACATTTTTCATCAATTTATACAGCCACAGACGCCCAGATGAGTATCTTATGGAATAAGGAAGCATGGGATATTAGTCTAAGAAGTGGAATATGGAAGATTAAAAGTAATGATAAAGTAAATGTCGTAGATGCAAAGGTACAAGTTCATTACATTGCTTAATTTAAGGATAATTAGGAGTTTATGATAAAAATCATGTATTTTGTAGCCCATAAAGATAGCCAGATATACCACTCAAAACCAAACGGCCATATCGGTACTGGCATACCTTTCAGTTCGCTTGAGAAGACGAGTAGAAACCCAGCTTCTATTAAAAATGGACATGTCTTGGACTCAAGCCTAATAAAGGCAAAATAACAAAGCGTATAAGATTGTCAGTAGTTACTTGGACTATAAATAAAAATTAGAACTTATATAAACTTTCCTATAATATGTGTGATTGGTAAATCTATAAATAAATGAAAGTAGATGGGTGAAGAAATATAATATTTTCGAGAAGAAAACCCGAAGATTTAAGGCTATATGATGCCGGGGAAGTGGATAACAGCTGACAGTCATCATAAGTCCTGCTCTGTTAAGCATGCGGCCTGATGACTTTCTCCATTCATATAAAATTCTCCGTATGATTAGAAGAGACCCAAAATAAACGCACTTTTTAAAAATGAAATACGCCTAAACAGTGGTATTTAGAAGTAAAGAAGAAAAAAGAAAAATGATAATATAGACTGATGGAGCAAGATGCTCTATTCTTGATAGGCAAGATCTATTGAAAAAAGAAAACATTATTTTTAATCTAGGATATGGGTGTTCGTCATGCAACCCTTTATAAATGCATACGATGATAGGCAGAGAATAAAATCAGCAGATTAGCAGCCAAATCACAAACCGCGCAACGACCGGAGCTCAAGAGACGTGGGGTTAGATGCTGAAGTACTGCTTCCAGTATTGCTGGCAGGCTGCAATTGGATCAAGTGCTTCAGCTTGGCCAGTGCCACGAGGTCACCGGTTACTCGCGCCTTTCGCCTAGCAACTGCGTCGACTAAATCTAGCCTGCCTCCTAGGGCGCTAGAGAGATCTTCGGGGCTGAGGAATAGACTCACTGTGGGCCGGCCGTGTGGAAGCATTCCAAGATCAGCATTGCCTACTCCCGAAGCCAGAGTAAATGAGAAATATACAAAATTGAACATGATATCAGCTGCAAAGATTTATGGGAACGGAAACCAAAAAATGATCGAAGGAGATAATGTTTATAGAATTAAGAGGATGTTGATTAGGTAGAATCGAAAGTATCACTTATTCACATTTTAAAATAAGCCTAGATTGAAAATTCTCTCTCCACACTTTCATGTAAAATGTACAATGCCTTACTACCTGATTGTAGGATAATATCAGCAAATATTGTGATTAAATGGAAAGGTTATTCATAAGGAATAGAAACATTCATCTCACTTTACTCAAATACAAAGAAACTACTGGCTTAGAATAAGTGAAACCTAATATATATTAAAAATCACTACCACTTTGTAATCGTAATGTAGGGTATTGGTTATGAAAATACGAAAAAGGAGAGGAATGCCCCAACTGATAAACAAAGTTCATGTTTCAATTAAAAACCCTATCTACTTTTTCATAATAATCCCTGGAATCAGGCAAAAAAAATAACTAGGCAGAATTTGGAAATAGTTAACCATAGCGAGAATCCATATTGATTGCGATATAAACGAATGCAATTATGAAAATTCCATACTATATAGGCATTCAATAGCATAAACATAATAAGTTAAGGTGAAGGTATGAAGAGCAGGATGGTGTGGAATTTTGCGTGGCCGCTGTCTCCTTTCGTTGCGTAGAGGTTGTTCGAACTTGTTTTCGAAACTTGGTCGTATTGGTAGGAAGACTTAGATGAATCCACCTAGTCCGGAGTACATTGTATGCATGATAATTTCCAGCGCTGGACTGTGGACGTGGTATATTCCCAGAAATTTCGCCGACATCGTCAGTGAGTCTTGCCATTCTTAGCACCACACTTAAACTCGTCAAAGAGACAAGTAAAGCCGATCCTTTGATCAATTTTTTGCTGAACATTCATGATATCTATCTTGCCCGCCTGGGACAATCCCCAATCCTATATTCTCGTGTCATACCTTCGCTATCACAATTTTTACATGCTTAGAGTTGTGCTAAGAGTGGAAAGATTTACTGACGATGCCGGTAAAACGTCTTGGAATGTACCGTGTCCACTGTCCGACTCTGGAAATTATCAAGCATACGATAGACTTTGGACTAGGTGCGTTCCTATAAGTATTCCTACCAATATGACCAAGTTGCGAAAACAAGGTCGAACTACTAAAATAAATTATATGAGATATATTATCTGTATTTCATTTAAGGTGATGAAGGACTGGTAGAAAAATTTACCCACAATGATATGAGTAGAGCTGATGTTTCCATTGAATTTTATAGCCTTGCTTTCCCACAAGTTGTTCTCATCCAGAGTGGACTGCAGTTTCGATCTCTCCTAGGTCTTATCAACACCTCAGCGGGAGTCGAGCCGTGACAGTGCAGCATATGAGCTTAACTACTTGGCTACATTGCCACGAGTGCTCTTGAGTCACAGTGTAGATGTGAATTTCAAGGAAGGCTAGACCATTTACCATTTGGTGGGATTGTTGATTAAGCAAACGTATTTTTGATATAAAAATAGCTATATTACTTATTTTTCGTATAAGGAGAGTTTCAAGAAAACCAGTAAATCGGTTATATGAGATGAATTTTATTGTGGGAAAATGCTAATACCAGTTCTTCATCACCTTAAACGAAATAGAGTGAATTCGTTAGCTTTATCGATAATCCCACCAAAGAATGTGATATGGTAAAGGGCCTAGCATTCCTTGAAATTCACATCTGCGCTGTGACCCAAGGACATTCGTGGCAATGTGGCCGAGTAGTTAAGCTCAAATGCTGCATTATCACGGCTCGACTCCCGCTTGGGGGGTTGATAAGACCTAGACGAGATCGAAACTGCAGTCCATCCTGGATGCAAACAACTTTTGGGAAAACAAGGCTACGTGAAAGTAAATCGAAACGTCAGTTCTACTCATTTCATTTTTGGAAAATTCTACTACTAGTCCCTAATAACCGTAAGTGGCAGGGGTCGAGTGAAATGCTAGAACGTTAGAGATAGCATATGGATCCTAGGGCGCAAGAGGGAAACTCTGATAAGACCTAGGAAAAGAGATTTTATGCATACAGCTAAAGAACTCTACCAATTATTGGCTATATTAAATTAAAAATTCGTATGATTTCGTGAAATCGCTAGATCAACAGATGATTTCAGAAGACGATAAGCAAGCAAGCTTTGACGTTGTGTCTATGTGCACAAACATTCCTGTCCAAGGAGCTATTCAAGCTCTGATACAAATCCTGGCGGGACATCCAGAGATAACACAAGGAATAAGGATGAGTGTAGCTTCCATTTTTAGACTTATTAACCTATCCATGAGTACCACATACTTTACCTTTGGTGATAAGTTATACGAACAAACGCAAGGATTAGCGATGGGATCTTGCTTGTGTTCCATCTTAGCGAACAATTATATGGCAAGATTGGAGGAACACTTCCCGCAAGAGGCAATATTACCCCTAAATTGTGGGTTAGATACATGGATGACTATTTTGTCATCCTGTCTTATCGTGAAGAAAGTTTAGAAAGTTTCCTACTTTCACTCAACCAGCGTGAAAGGAAGAATAGGTTCACAATGGAGATGGAAGAGAAGAAATCCCTACCATTTCTGGATGTTATCATGATTAGAGAAGAGGGTAAGTTAGGAACATATGCTTAAAGGAAGCCAACATATGTTGGCTCTTTGCTTAATTTTAGTTCCAACCATAGTTATAAAATTAACGTTGGAATCTTGAAGTAAATGATTATTAGAAGTATGAGGCTAGCGGATAGCAAACATTTGACTGACAAATATATTCCTGGAAAATAATTATCTCTATACTAAGGAATAAATTTTCAGACGGAGACCATTTAGTCAAGGAGAGACAAACTGAGACCTTTGCCCATGTCCTAATTTTGCTGTCAAGTCTTCTCTCAAAAAAGATAGGCAAATAAGTAAAGAAGTGAAGCATTAAAACAGTGTTCAAAAAAACCCTCACACTTTCTTCTGTTATGCCAACTTTTAGAGAGAAATATGACCCATTATCAAGATCCGGCTGCTACAAGATTGTTTGCTCATGTGGTCGATGTTATGTTGGTGAGACATGTCGACCTATTCGACAAAGATTGGTAGAATACAAAAATGCTTGCAAAGGTAGCTGGATCCAACGGTCAGGAGTGGTCGAATACATGGTTTAAACTGGACATGAAATAGAATTATCTCAAATCAGTAGGTTTGCTGATTATGGTACGTCTGTGCTTAAAGGAAAGATAAGAGAGGCTATTGAAATTGATAGCTTAAGAAATACATTGAATGTGAGGAATGGTGGTAAAAAGTTGAGTAGGAATTACTTATAGAGGTTGTTTGACCTTGTTTTCGCAACATGGTCATGTTGGTAGGAAGACTTAGAGGAACGCACCGGACTCCGGACTAGGTGCGTTCCTCTTAGTCTTCCTATCAATAAGACCATGTTAGGAAAACAAGGTCAAACAACCTCTATACAACGAAAGGAGACTGCGACCACACAAAAGGCCACACCATC